TGGGCATGATGGGGTGGGGACACACACTTGTTTGCATGTTGCATGGCAGGCGTTGTGTAACATGCCTCCTGCTGCTCCCATTCCTCAGAAGCTTCCATGCAGGATTTTCAGGGGAAGCCTCCAGGGAAGGTGTTCCCCGGAGCGACGAAAAAGGGATGAAAAAGGGCAGTGCGCATAGAGCCATTTTGGCAGCTTGTTTCCGGGCATGATGGGGTGGGGACACACACTTGTTTGCATGTTGCATGGCAGGCGTTGTGTAACATGCCTCCTGCTGCTCCCATTCCTCAGAAGCTTCCATGCAGGATTTTCAGGGGAAGCCTCCAGGGAAGGTGTTCCCCGGAGCGACGAAAAAGGGATGAAAAAGGGCAGTGCGCATAGAGCCATTTTGGCAGCTTGTTTCCCGCATGTGGAAGGAAGGAAAAGAGCAGTGCACCGAGACATTTTGTGCTCCACTTGTTCCCTGCATGCCGGATCTGGCATGAAGTCTCGGGGCCTTCTCTTCCCATACCTCTCCCCGGAGTCTGGTGCTGATGCTCCAGTCTTGCAGGTGGCCATAAGGTTGTAGCACCAGCGTGGCCTCCCTGCTGCGGGGGGAGCAAAAGGGGGTTGAGCTGGGGCTCTAGAAGAGCCATATCTGGCTCATGAGCCATAGGTTGCTGACCCCTGGACTAGATGATGGAAATTCCATCAACTAGTTGATTAAACTAAATTTAACACCCTGACTGCACACAATATTGAAGATGTTTGTGTGCCATGGATTTATATAGAGGCAAAAAGATATTTGAAGTCTTATTCCTTATCCCTTTTTAAATGATTCCTAACATTCTGTTTGCTTTTTTGACTGTTGCCACACATTGAGTTGCGGGCCTCCTAAATATTCCTGCTTAGGCCTGCCAACAAACCAGCACTGCATCTGAGACAACATCTTTGTGTTAAAGATGAGGCAGGTCATTTGGTAGAACCCTTGGTAGTCTGTGAGCTGCATTCTGCCCATCTTTATTCCACTTTGGTCAATGGGATAGTATTAGTCTTACACATGAGAATAAATTATTCTTACCCATAGCAGGGGTTGCTAGTGTCTGTCGACCTACTAACTGTGCAGGCCCAAGTCCATCAAGGAAATCACTAAATTGACTGTCAGCACCCAGCCGCACTCCAGGGAATATTAAGCTACAGAAATATAAAACATGAATACATGTAAATACAACGTTCATTCATAATGGCCCACAATAATTAACAAAGAAATGCTTCTCAGACACAACATACAGCCTCAGGGAATAGAACTACAAATTGTACTGCAAACCCACAACCCCAAATAGGCACAGTGAAACCATCTCATAAGGAAGTAACTTTGTTCTCACAAACAACTTGCCATCTTTCAGTTTTACTATCGTAGCAAAGAGCCTTACAAAAATGCCAGCTGACGCTGGCTGTGACGGCAGGACATTGCTCCCCCTTGATTCAGTTAAAAGGGTTACAGGCATTCTAGATGCCAAGTACTGTGAGGAAGAGTTTAGCAAGACCATCTCCTCTTCACTGGGATGTAGCTGTGACTATATCAACAGCCTTTTTACCCGACTTCCATGGAGAAGTGGATATTTCTCTACTTCTTCCCTACTTAGCTACAATTGAATTGTGGTGAAAGTCATAATCCCCAGGGCACTGAGTGTGATTCACATTTGAACTGGGTGAATAATAGGTTTTTGATTTGTTGGCAATTTCAAACGGAAAAAAATTATTTCAGGTCAACCCAGAACAAAAAGCGTCAATGAATTAAAAGGTTTTAAAATGGTCATTTCAGGTCAAACAAGTGTTTCATTTTGACAAAATTAAATGCTTTGTTTAGATTTTGATATCTTGGAAACTATTAAAATGAAAATGAAAGGACGTTTTAAAATGGAAAGTTGTTTTCAAACTGAAATGGAAACATTTTGTTTAGAAATGAAACTAAATGTTTCTCTTTTTTGCATTTTTTAAACAAAATTCAGTAAAATAAACATGAATTTGTAAAAGATTTTAGTGTTGCAGAATCTGCATTTTTTTTTTTTTTTTTGCTGCAAGAAGCTTTGAATTAAAAATTTCACCCAGTTCGAGTTCATAAATGTGTTAAGTGCAGTGTCTTAGAGTGATTAGTTCAATGGATACATTTTATAATGGAGTGAAATGGAAAATAATCATAAAAAGTAACCCTATTACCCTATCACCTACTGATGTTAACAATTTTCTACCTAATTCCAGTTATTTAAAAATTAAAATATTACAATTATCAAAAAAGCAAACTAAAAATGCTAAGATTTATAATAACATTCTTGTAACTAAAATTCCCAGGTATATTTTCCCATGCTTTGCTGCACCTCTATATCAATTCTGCTATAAACCACTAGTACCTTACTTCCCGTTCTCTGAAAGTTTTCACATAGAGAAAACAGATACTGAGATCTAATAAGAGATTAGGGTTCCAGTCTGGGACCTAGGATTTGATTGAGCATACCTCACCTGAGGACCTTGCTCTCCAACTCCTTACTGACTAGTTCAATTCTTCCTTGAACTTAGGATACTGATATTTTCCGAAGCTGGCTGTACAGTTTCTCATATTTGCTGTAGTGTTTTTACTTGCCCTTCCCATCCTAAAATCTTTGAACAAAGGAAATCCCTTCTGGCTTCAAGCAGGATAGAAAACATGGCATGGCTGTTTAAGATCACTTCTACTCCTCTTCTAGAATAACATGTATAGTCGAACCTGCAAGCCTCTTACACTTCCTCTCCGAATATCTTCAGAAACTTTTCTATTAATTGTCTAGCAAATGACTTTTATATTATGTTTCCCTGCTTAGTTTAGCTTAGCTCAGCTCTACAAGTGAGTGATTAACCACTGATAGTCTTCAAAGAGCAGTTGATTGAAGTTCCAAAGATAATACTCACCTGGTCTTTACTAAGATACTAACAAACAGACCTGCCTTAGCTGTTTGTCAGGGGTCAAAGGTCCAGCTACACAACCCATACACAGAACAAATTAATAGTCACACAAACAGTATACAGATGAACCAAATGTACCACTCACCAAACCCTACTATAGCAGAGTCTGTAGCTATGTCCTCCGAAACTGCCCTGCTAGCTGCCTCTGTTTGCCTAGCAAATGTCTCAGGGGTGAAAAGTTTCTGTGCTTGTATCCATTTCTCTAAACTAGCTATTTCATCAATAATTATTCTTTGAAAAAAGGCATTTTAAATATACATTTGTTATCCAGGGACCTCTTGGTGCCAATTGGCAGAGGGCATGGGTTGCATATGGCTTACAAGGATGCTTACAAATGTTTCTTTGATAGTGGAATATCTGAATACTGCAAGTGTCCAGTGGAACAGGAGCAGGACCCTCCAGGGACCCTACTGCTAATCTGCAAAGAAACTGGGGCTCTATTTAGGCTGCTAGAGGAAAGTGATTGTGTTGCCCGTGACTGATGGAGTGGGGGAGCTCACCCCTGGCAGGCATTGACAAGATTTCCTCTCACTGAGGGGTAGTGAGATGCCTTTGCAATGCTGGGTCCCCCTGGGAAGCATCACAACATTTTTATGCCAAAGAATAATTCAAGAAATTAGACAGCTAATACAAATAAATGCACATTAGATTATTACTAATATCATCTGACAGTAGCAGAATTTGCTGAGACAAGCTGTTGTGATTAGAGGCTGATCCTATCCTGCTATGATTAATTAACATTCCAGACATTAAAAGCGTAATTAGTTTTATCATCGTGTATCAATTTTAATGAAAAATGACACGTATTTCCTAGGGAAACATGCTCCCAATCACTGTCTGGAATTGCTAATCCTGTTGCTTGTGGTCAATTGGTCTTGACCTGCCTGTTCAATGCACAAATATTTTGAAATATTTTCTTGTTTAAGTTATGTTTGTGGGAAGTAATGCCTCAGGAATATGTCAAAGTTAGGTCATTTAACACAGCTACATACTTAGGTTTATTTGCTAGACTTTATATTATCACTATCTGGAGTAGGCTCTGGATGGAAATAATGGTTGCCCAACATATCTAATTATAAGACCCCCCCACCAAACCAAGTAGCATTGTGACCTAACTCTCAGGATTGCAATACTATTCCCATTCACTGTACTTGCCCCTACTTAGATGGGAGAGAAAGGGGTGGACGCAACAAACCTGTGTGGCTGTGTGACCATGTGCTCTAGATTGTAATAACAATCTGATTTGGTCCTCTGTCCCCCTGTTTCCATACACAGAGGAATAGACAGGCCAAATTTGACTACTGTTGCAATCACATGGGCTAGGTCACAACACCTGAAGCCCAGTCCAGCGTGACAGGAACTGCTGTTGCAGGGTACGTTTGGGATGGGCTTACTCTCCAAAACCCTCTCTCCATGAACCCTTTGCTCTTCCTTTCTGTGACATATTGTTCTTTTCCTGTACCTCAGTCATAACATTTATTAAAATTGGTTTGATAAAATCATAGCCCCACTTACAATTTTGTGGAACTTCAACCCTTTGGGCTGAAATGTTCCATGCTAGGCATCCACCTCAGACTGATTTATGTCTATATCCAACTATCTTGAAAGCAGACTATACATGGAAAACAACTGTTGCAGCTGTTTTCTATGCTAGTGAACTGGCCCATAATTCTAATACCATTGAGAACTAGTTCTAATCATAATGTCACTAGTAGGCCAGATTGTTATAACTGTGACCGGATTCGGATCTGATTCAGTGTCTAGCCCCACATATAATGGTTCCTGTGGCACTACTTGCCACTGCCATAACTTAAAAAAATCATCTGACTGAGAGAAGCTGGGACAGGACAACAGAGGATGGATCACTCACTAAATTGCCCTGTTCTCTCTGAAGCACCTGGCACTGGTCACTGTCCGAAGCCAGGACACTGGGCTAGATGGTCATTTGGTCTGACTCAGTATGGCTGTTCTTATGATCTGTATCAATTATCAACCTAAGTATTCAGGAAATGAATTAGGCAGATATCTATTAGTGTGGCATCTTTGAAAAGCTGTCTTACACTCCAAGATCTCAACTTTAATTTTTTTTTTAAAAAGGCCTCTCTAGCTCTTATGGTTGTGAAGCAACTTTCTGTTCTCATTGTCAAGGTTAACTGATTCAGCAGTGTCAGCTTGAGTTTGCAGACTTCCTGTAACAATAGTCAGGAGGGGTGTGAAAGCCCAGCCATCTGAAAGTCAGGTTACCAAACCATACAATAATAAGATGCTCTGTGAAATGTGTGATCTCTACCCGTATTTCACTGGAGGTACACCTCATCGTGGAAGATATTTTGCTAGCAGTTTGTGCCCTTTTCTTGTGCTCTGAACTGAGGGATCTGTGGAGCAGACGGATTGCCACTCCAGTTATCTTTCTGTAGTGACTATCTCTGGCATAAGGCTCCACAGGCAGTAAGGGGAAAGGAAAGCAGACAGTGACCACACATCTCAAAGAACTCCAGTTACTGCACAGGTAAGTAACCTTTCATTCTCCGACAAGTGATGGTATTACACTTAAGGTGAATCACCAACAGGATTCATTGAGGAGGAGGGTCGAGGAATCCTGCAGCACTTGGAAGACTGCTCTGCCAAAGCATGTCAGCAGTGGAAGCTTTTACCAGGGTGTAATGTTTCTCAAATTTGTGTGAGCCAAAACTATTTAGTCTAAACTAATGTATTATTAAAGGCTATGCCTTATATAAAGCTCATCTCTACTTCCTGTAAGCTTTGTGCTGGAAATACATTAAAAGTGGTGCAGAAAGCTTTTATTCTTGGCATATGTAGAATCATCAAGGACAAAACAGGGCTTTGCCAAGGTTTTCCTGAGCTTTGTTAAAATAATGAGTAATTATTATGATTGCTGCAAAACTCTTAAAACTAACTTGGTAAAGATATTCTAGAATCTTGGACAGTGAGTGCAAATTGCATGGGGAAGAAACATTAGGATCAGCTGTAAAATTAAGTAATTTGGGGAGTTTCTTGTCCATGGTAACGTACTAATGTGATTAGTAAGTAGTAAGTCTGTGGCCACAGATTAGGTAACATTAATCTTTGCCTGCTTGTCTGTTCTGCATGTTTACTTAATAGCTTGATTGAGCTTAGTATTCTGACAACTCATCAATCAATAAACCCTAATAGGGGTGAACAGAGACCCTCTTTGCTGGTCTATAAGATCTTCAGAAATGGGGCAACTACAATTGAAACTACCAATGGCCTGGGTTCTGGTGGAGTAGACACTTGCACCTTTTATAGGAGAATATGTCCTCGATAGGACAGACAGACACTCCAGGACAAAGTGATGCCACAACACTTCCCTCCCTCCTATCACTTTCCCACTGGATCCCTCTGAGACTTGGATTTGGAGAGTCCCTCCCAAATACATTCAGTGCCCATAGACACTCCCTGGTGTGGCAGCCACAAGACCACCCCTCCCTGGTGCTGCATCCAGTGAAAGCGGGAGTGAGGAAGGGGATGTGGAGGATGGAGTCAGATACAGCTCAGACAACTGCAGCCACTGGCATTGCCATATAGCTCCCTGTGCTCCAGCTCTTCCGCCACAACCCTCCATCCACCTCGGTCACAGATTCCCAAATAACCCCATCCCACAGATCTCCACCCAACCGCCTGTCATACACCCCTATTGACACCCCACTTCAGTCTCCACCCAACCACCAAGTAACTTCCACCCAGCCCCCTGCTCGTCCAACCCCAAATAAGCACTTCCAAGCCCCTGCCACTTCAAATAAACTCACAGCCCACAAACTCCACAAAATTTGCTCCTGACACAGTCCCCACTCATCTCACCTCCCCATCACAGGAGCCCCTATCTCTGCAAACAAAAATCACCTGCCACTTAACCCCCAATTAACTCACACTAAAATATCACAATGCCAAAATTATTGAAACCATCCCCAAACCACATCCTTCCCTCTGTTACTCCATAATCCCTTATTCCTTACAGGGCCCTCCTGCTGCCCCCAATACTGGCCTTATCTAGCATACTGATCAGTCCAAATGCCTCCAACCCCTGGCTGCACTCTCATCCTCTTTTCAAATGCCCCAGTTTGCTGTGGCTCACCAGAAACATCACCACAGGACCACTCACTCCTTTAGCCCTAGCATCAACAACCCATCTTCATTTTGAACTGTAACCTTTTGCCCTTCCTCTCCCTTTCCCTCTTTGTCTTTTTAGGGTGGCCAAGGGCACCTGAGAAGGGAAGAGGAGGATCTGGTTGGTGGTAGAGTGCTCCACAACCCTTCTTGCCATTGACCCATAAAAAAGTAGGGTGAAACCCCAAAATCCATTAGGAAAGCCTCTGTTCCCCTTTCATATGTTCTGCAAAGGAGACAAACAGTTGAGATTTCCTGAAGACCTCTGTCTCCGGCAGGCCGAACGCCAAGGCTCCATGGATAGCCAGATAGTGAAGTTTCTTGTCGTCTCTGGTGGCATGTGGCTTTGGATTGAATACAGATAAGTGAATGCCCTAGTTTAGATAGAATTCGGAGATTACTTTGGTTATGAATTTGCGTGTAACCTCAACAAAATGGTATCTTTATGAAAGCCTGTATCAAATGAAACTGGCATACAGACCTCCACCTACTCTCTGGCTGAAGGATAGCAACCAGAAAGGTATCCTTCATAGACAGATGATTGAAGGACTGAAGGCATTCTAAGCGTGCCTTTGTTTCTAACACCACTGTAACCTGTGCTCATAGGCTTGCGGGGTTTGGCAAGGAAAGTCTGGCAGATGTTGCACTTAGAGTGTATATAAGCTTCCCTGAAGCAATAGAGACATGTGCCAGGGTTATTCAGGACAGGGAATGCTCAGGCACAGGACATAATACCGGGAGGTGTTGGGGTAACCTACATTATATCTAAAACAGGTTTTAAAACTATTTATAACTAACTACAGAGTTTGAAGGAGAACACTGGTGCACACTGTGGACACCGAAGAGATTCCATCTCAGATCACAGGAAATAAAAAGGAACTAAAGAGATGGTCAGTCCATGCGGCACCTTATGATTCAGAGCACAGGTTAAAGAGGGGAGTATGCATTCATCATGCACCCTGCTAGCAAAAATCTTCTCATCTCAAGTTCCTGGGGTGCACATGTAGTTCATGTAGAATACAAGCAGAAACCATAATTCAAAGAAGGATAGATATTAATTCAAATGCTAATAAAATTTTAAATGTGAACATTTTGTTGCTCTTTGTAATAGAATCCTTCCTCTACTTTCTTCCCGACTTTGATGAACTCTGAAATGATTAACTTGATCTGTACTACAGTTCCAACCCTTATATGTTCCCTACATTCAAGAAGGAGCACAACTGGGCACCTAAGCTTGACCCAAGGGAAGATAAGTATGAAGAACTTAGCAGTGGGTTGAAACTCCACTTAGGAGCCCAGCAAAGTCCACAAATATGTAAGATCATATGTCAAACATCTGTGAAATCTACTCAGAGTGGCATATCACACTAGTGTCTCAAATGGGCAAATCTGGAAAAAGTATCATTATTATCACTTTAGCCCCGTAAATACTTATATAGTCCCAAATAAAGCAGAAAATAAGTGTCTCATCATGTAATTAAAGACTATAATAATGCATATGCACCAGGGAGACAAATTAAAGTTGCACGGGCCTCCTTAATTCCGGCATTTTCTAACTTTTGAGTGCTTGATCTTGCAAACTTAAATATTCTATTAATCTAGCTTTTTTGTATGCAGTAGGAAAGCATGCTATGCTGGATCTGTCTCTGCTCACCTCTCAGTACCAGACCCAATTGTCAGATGGTTGGGTTGTCTCCAAGACAGAGTTCTTTCAGTAGCTAACAGTAAAAATAGTCCCACTAAGATCTCTGAGGAGGCTAGAACACGAATATATGCTTTGTGCAGGGTCTGCTTTTGTTCTTCCTTCCTACATACTTATTAGCAATGACAATGGTGAATGAAGAGAATACTCTTTTGTTTGAATAGTGTGCAGTAAGACTTCATAGCTTTCAATAAGAACTGTCCTTGGACCAGCTCCAAACTCAATGTTCTTTATATACAAAGTTACCAAACACCATTTCATATGACAGGGAGACATCCGAAGTTTAATTCAGGATAGATCCAAGCAGCGTGTCACAGTGCCATCAGTTTAAAGCAAAATTGGCCAAATGTTTTGTTTCCAAAAATATTTATGAATTTAGCTTCTTTATTGATTAGTAATCCAATTTGGATTTCTTTAACCATATTCGTTATTTATAAGTATTTACTGAATAATCTGAATCGTGACTTTTCAGACTCCAGTTTTTTCAGTCATCCAGTCAGCAGAAATGACAACATGTCCCTTAGATAACCAATCACATAACACAAATAGCAATGTGATAATCAAAGGGAACCATTTGAGAAAAAACTAAACAGAAGAAGAGCTTATAGTAAGTGCTCTTCTAATGTAAATTTTCATGAAAAAAGCCTGAAAGTTTAGGCACTTGTGAACAATTTCACAAGTGTCAAAACTTTCCGGCTTTTTTCATGAACATTCATTGAAAATCAGGCAGCACAAATGACAACATGCCACTTAAGTGACCAAGCACATAACACAAATAGCAATATGATAATTAGAGGGAACCTCTTGAGAAAAAAAAACCAGAATCTGAAAATTGCATAAGTGCAAAATTTTGCACAAATCGCAATTTCATAAATCATAGTGAACCAAATCTGGAACTTTCATTCACAAATCAGGAGGGTTTTTTATTTTTAAATGACAGAATGAACCTCTCTGGTACAGGGCTTGGCAGGACCACAGATGTTGCTGGACCAGAGACCCCCTGCACCAAAGAGCCCTGGGAGGCTGGTGGCAGGAAGCAAAGGTGGGAGCCCAGCAGCCCGGGGCTGATGCAGCCCTGTGGAGTCCCACAGAGCCCAGGGTCAGAGGAGCCTAGAGGCCCTGGGGCAGTGGAGCCCAGTGGACCTGGGACTGATCACAGAACCAGGAGCCCAGAGGAGCCCAGCATTCAGGAGTGAAGCCTGGCAGCTGGGAGGGAAGCCCAACTGGGTCTGTTGATGGACTGGGGGAGAGCCCGGAGTCCATCAACAGAGGGACTGGAATTGAACCCCTCCCTCCTTTGGGACCAATCAGGACCAGGGAGGTCAAACCTGTAGTATTTAAACAGTTTTCTTATGAGGATAAGAAAATTCAATGTACTTCTACATTGCTGCATTATTCGTAATTCCACTTACTTCCCCTCAGAGCTGTAGCTGTTTATGCTGCCATCGGTGGACTCACGACTTGGCTGCCGAACCATACGAATCCTCATTTCTGCTGCCATCCCTGTTTCTGTGCTTCTCTGTATCGTGCTTTTTAGCTTCTTGTGGCCAGAGTCTGAAAATAGAAAAATAAAAGGAAGCATTAATGTTGCAAGCTAGCATCAAGTCTTTTCTTTTACATTTTTATTTGAACACAATTGGCACGTTTTCATTCATAAACAAGACATCAGAAACAGATTATTCTGATCAAATATAAATAATCTCTCTTTTACAGTCCTTAGTTGGTGGTCTCTCTCAGGTGGAAGCCACTTGAAAGACAATGGAAACACTGTAGCCTTCTGGCCGCAACACTGAGTTCATCATATGACACAAAGATATTATGTATTTGTATATTTCCTTTATGAAATGCCCCTTTCAAAAGAGTTTCCATCACAGGTTACTTAAAATGAAGTTTGAATTTCACAACAAACAATGACTGTTTACATTTAAACAAGTGGAGTCAAAAAATATGATGGCTGAGTTTACCTCGGTATCAGGTTTTAAAGTTGACAGTACAGTCATCAATGTTAAATGTATTCTGCTATAGTTATTACAGGTTCTCAGATTATTGAATTGTTCTGACCCTGCCTCATCTAATAATTACTTTTGACTTCATAAATCTTTCATCGGAAATGCCTCTAACAAGTCTCTTGCTGCTATAATAATTTTTGTTGACTGCAGACTTGTAATGTTCATGTGACCTCAACTAGGCCTCAAATTTCACTGGTAACATTATTCTCTTTTATAAAGTACTATGTTTGGCAAATTTTCATGTAACTGTATGAAGAATCATTTCTCTGTACTCCCTTATATTTGAATGCTCTCACTTTTGGTCAGCACCGTGATTCAAAGCCAAAATGGGAGAACATGTCTCACCACATCCATTTCTCAGTCTGTTTTAGGACAGTATCTGGTGGGTGGGTGGGTGGAGGGGAGAACACTTCCAGATGCTCCTGTTTTGGAAGTTAAACTGGAATTAAAACAATTAGGCTACATCTTCACTGCGAGTTCTTCCAGAAAAAAATATACTAATGAGGGACTCATTAACAGAAGTCATGATCTCATTAGCATATTTTCTGCCGTTTCTTTTTGCGCAAAAAGAAGCAGTGTGGATGGGGCTTTTCTTGCGCAAAACCCCCGTTTTGCACAAGATCCTTATGCTTGTCTCTGGAACAGTTTGTGTGTGAGACAATGCAAAAGGAGTATGGAGGGCCAAATTCTGGCCCTGCTTTATGTAACTGTAAGGAATGGTATTCCACACTGGTCTAACAAATCCTTAGGATGGTTAAATGTGCTACAGGGCATGACTAGAGGGCTCCAGTGACATAGTCAAGATCTATAGAACTGGTGAGAGTATGTAGAATTCATGCCATAGGCTTATTGATCCTTAGGCCATCTTCATGCAAAGATCACAGGAATTATTGCAGTAACCTCTCTGGGGTTATCATCGAGAGATAAAACATGACCAAAAGGAGTTTCAAAACAAAATGGAAAGAATTGGTACCTTGGTTTAGAGAAGGAAGGAGTCAGTGAAAGAAATGTGTCTTTCCAATTGATTACTACTAGTTTAGAGAGTTCTGCTCAAATCTGGACTGGCCACACGGCCATTGCAAGACATTTAAAATGTTGGGCTAGCCATCAGCTGAGAAAAAATCAGCTTGCCCTCAATGATCACAACTAGAGTTGGAGTTTTTTGCTCTATTTTGAAGCCAACATCTTGTAAGTTCCTGCCTGGGCCAATGCAGTCCATTCAATATGCCTGGCTACCCATTAGCTGAGAAAATATCCCCCCCTTATCAATCAGTATTTGTGTGAGACAGAGCTACATGGGTGCATAGATGGCTGTGGAAGTGATGTATAGGACTTGTGAGTCCACAGCCATGGAATTTACCCCTTGCTGCAGTACTGTACTCCAGAATCTCAATTTTCATTTAAAAATGAATGACGTTTCTAGCTCTTATAGTTGTAAAAATGACACTGGGTTCAGGTTTTCCACATTAACTGGTGGAATGAGTCTGTAAAGAACCTGAAATCATAGTTCTGGCAGGCTGGTGAACTGGGTTGCCCTGAAAACACTGCAATAGATAAGGCCCTGGCAACTGGACAGATAAGACATTGTCTCAAACTCCTCTCAACCATGGCACAAATGATGAAAAAAGATTATAATCTGGACTGCCAGGAGACTGCTGTTTAGGGTTCAGGAGTGGAGCCAATGCTTGGAATGTACAGTGAAAAAAACCCACCCTTGAAAACAATCATGGTTGAAAATATCCATGATTAATATGATTAATAATAATAAAATAACAACAACAATAATAAATAAAACTATCATATTATTATTATTACTGATTAATATGACAGTAATGAGGATTTTAGCGATGAGCCTCAGCTGTGTTTGTGAAGAGATGGGCTTAGGTATATGACTAAGGAGCGTTTAGCCTAGATAGAATAAATTAACACTGTCATGGAATACAGGCGTTCTCGCCATTAACTGTAGTGCTTTTTGCCATGGAATTTAAGGGTGTTCCCCATGGACTATGACCCCATTGTCCCATGGAGAATGACAGGCCATGGCCATTTATGACTCTGACAGGCTGGATTTCTCACTGATTTGTGAACACTGAAACGATTCAAGATTTACTTTTTCTCAGAACACTGTTTTTCTGTCACTATTCTTTACTTCACTGTTCTGACTTTCTCCATTTTTCCTCAGTCACCACTCTGTTGCATTTTACAATTAAATTCTAAAGGTCTTGCAAAATTGAAAATATTCTGCAATACAATCAGAAATATACTATACAAACAACCTAGGTAAGATACATAATGGATTTATGATAGAGGAAAGTCTTCACTCAGGATAAATAAGTTCAAGCACATACCTCACATATTTTCCATGTCTTATACTAGCCAGTTTTATGTATTACCCTTCATTTATTCCACTCATATTGCCAAAAAAGATATGGAGCTTTATTTTACTGGCATGTTCTCTAAAATTTTCCAGCAAAGCCTAAATCCAATATGATACTTTAAAATGGGATTATATTGCCTTTTAGTGATTTTGAAACTCCTTTGGAAAATTAAATTGCTTTCAGGTATGAAACATATTTTGTCAAATTGCAAGATCCATCCAGTTAACAGAGTAGGCTGGATCTTTTTTTTATTTGGTTGGTTTTTTTTTTGTTTAAAGCTTTTATTTTCACCTCTGAGAAGAGTGTTCAAGATCTGTTACCTATATACATATGATTCTGGGAATACATCTATATGAATAGTCCAGGTTTATTAAAATAGCTTAGAAAGCTATCTATGCAGTGACATAACTGAGACAGTTATTTTCTTCTATTTTCTTCTTTTGCCTGGACATTTATTTCAGAAACTATGGGGTCAACTATTGATTTTAATGATTTATTATTTGACATGGATATTAATTTCATGTTGTATGAATTAAATTACATCCATTGTGAAGACCACAGAGAAATTGGTTGTTTCATGAATAATATGTTGGGCCAGATTTTCAAAGGTGCTTCAAAACGGCTTTTAAGCTTACCAATACATGTTCATAAAAGGCTTTCCATCTGTAAAAATTCTGATTAGTGTGCAAAAATTACATCTATGCAAACAGCATAATAATGACATTCAGAAAAAAAGAGTGAAAATTAAATATAATAAATACTTTTTGCAGGTTTAAAAACTCATGCAGAAAGATCTTAAAGATAAAGCAGCATTGCTACAGCTGCATAACACAGTTATATAAATTATTAGCAGTGCACCAGCTATTGTAATGTAATACCCTTTACAGTGGACCAACCATTCCTATCAAGGAACTTGAATGGCTTTTGTATCCTAGTTTACCTATCAATATAATATCCTTTCCAGGGATCTCTCAGTGAGGCTATGTCTAGACTGCAGGCTTCATTTGGAGGAAACTTTTTTTGGAAGAGGTCTTCTGGAAAACCTTTTTCCTAAAGAGAGCATCCACACACAAAAGTGCATCGAAAAAGTGATCTGTTTTTTTGAAAGATAGCATCACACTTAATCTTGCATTTAAGTTGTGATTACTATTGACGGAGTGGCCACCAGGGCACCTGTGCTTTTTCCTCTTTCCTCTTCTTTTGAAATAACTCCCTCTTCCCCATCTATATATGCCTTTTTCTGAAAGAGCTCTTCTGGAAAAAAGGCTTCTTCCTCATAGAAAGAGGATTACCAAAGCCAGAAAAAACCCTCTGTTCTTTCAATTTACTTTCGGAAGAACATGACTGCAGTGTGGATGTAACTCAGGTTTTGTCGGAAAAACGGTAGTTTTTCCAACAAAACTCTGTAGTGTAGACATACTCTTAGAAAGACAGTGCCTTCAGTTTTCTTATAGACAGGTTAGGTATAAAGCTTCAGACCAAAATGAAAATTCACCAATGTAGTAAACTTCATCTTCTTGACAAGTTGAAACCCTCTAGTCCAGCACTCAGTAGCAAAACCAACCCTTCCACTGCTTACTGGGCATTTGGTGTAAATTAGAGCTAAATAACAGCACAGAACACTAAGAACCAGGATTGGTGTCTGTAAACAAACTTTATGGGACTGTGGGAAATTTGGCTATACCCAGAATAAGTGGACATCCAGCTAACAAAAATCATGCTGGATCATGGCTGTTGCCAGACTAGAGAGGTTCAACCTGTACTTTATTTTAAGCTTGCAGAAGACATGAAGAGAATTGATGCTTTCCCACATTCCCTGACTTCACACCATGTTGACATTTAAGAGCCAGGATCAAAAATGCTATTGCTGCTGGAACTGAAGCTAAGATATGAAGATGCACAGACAAATTAGCTATCCACATAATCAGAATGTTCAACTAGAGATTTCCAAAGACCACAACTAATCAAATGAAGTCTGACATGAGGGATTCAAAACAACACTTTAATAAAACTTAAAACATAAGACATTGATAACTCAACGAAAGAAAGGCAATCATGAAGTGGAGAACTGCATGGCTCAAGGACCCATGATTCGTCATGTCAATTGGGCTGCATCTACATCAGTGGCTAGATTAAATCAGACAACATGTTCAAGCAGCATATCGTG